GGTGTATCCCAGTGGGTAAATTTGTGGGTGACATATCTTGGGATAGAGAGCTCAGAAAAAACAAATTGTACCGTTTGTTTTTAAAAACGTCAGACTAAACCACACATATAGGGTGCCATTTTGCGTCCTATATAACATGCTAGGGGTTAGCATTTTAACACGTATGTCAATGTTAGCATTGAGCTCAAAGCACAGCTGAGCCTAAGTAGAGCTCGGTCTGACAAAAGTACACCTTAGTTGGATTTAAGTCAAGCTTAAATTCTGACAATAAAGGACTCAGCCTGTTAAAATAGCCCTTGATTTAGATGTTTTTCTTCTGGTGCCACAACTTTACACACACAATTTGCTTTTAGTCTTCTCTTCTTCTACCCTGTGGGGATTGTGGCCACTACATGGACCAATACTATTTTAAAGTGGGTCACAGTTTTGTTTGTGTCACGCACGAGGACACACGCGCACGCGCCCAAGCATGCAGGCGGTTTCACTCTATTCCACTGGTCGACAGTTGGTGGGAGTGATGCACAAAGACGTGCCAACAAAAGCAGTGAAGTTGAAGGCTACATGCTAGCAGACATGATTGTAAACAGAATTTTAAAATGTTCAAAACTCAGCTCTGCAAAAGGTTTACGAGGAAGGACATGCATTTACCACGTTTTGTTAAGTCACAAGGATACTCACAGTATATCCTGATACATGTATAGATTTAAAACAGAAAGGCAGATGTTTTAATTTACTTAAGCAACCATTGCTATTAATAGAACATATGCAGTATTGATTTGATCCCAGTGGTGCCTCCAAGTGGGGGCCAGGGGGGCCATACACCTGATGTAAATACTGCCCCATGCCCTCTTGCAAAATAATAGGAGGACATTATTTTATTTAAGAGGCTGTGGAATGCTCATTTTTTAAGCTAGCCTGAAGATAGCAGTATTTTGTCAAACCAGACAACCTAAGGAATTCATTGGTACCAACCATGCCAGCATAGCTTATCAAGAAGGGGGCTAAGGGCTTTGGCAAAGGAGCAACTGGCATGGTCATTTTCAAAGGGGTCTATTGAGAAGACTTGTTTGAGAAGGCTTGTTCCCAGTAAATGTGTTGCATAACATGTATAGATACATAACCATTAAATCATTTTGTGGAACTCAAAATGTTAACTGTACTGAAACGCCCCCTTTCCACTGAGCAGTACGGTATGGTTCATTTCGGTACACTATTTTTCCATTGAAAAGTTGTGGATGGTACCAGTGGAATCGCTCTGTACTGTCCCCATTTTAGTCACCCCTCTTTTGGGGTACCTAGCACACAGATCTGGTACTAGAAGGTGGAGCTCTGAACACTGCAGTCCATTGATTGGTCAATAGCAGACGGTCACTCTGCTCAAGGCGTGCACACCTGTTCTGTGGACCATAAATAAGGTACAGACTGATAAGAGGAAATACAGTGAGTGCTGGACAGAGCAGTGAGTGACAACAACCCCGCCCACATTTAAGAGTACTGTTTGCGGTGGAAACACTAAACAGACCTAGGGTTTCGGTACCATGTCTGAGGGGTTACGTGGTTCCATAGGTACTATGACAAAAGTGTTTGGTGGAAATGAGCTACGTTGACATGGTTTTCATCTAGCCTCTATTCTTTAACAGCATAACTGAATTCCTGAAACCCAGTTGTAGCTGTTGGTTATAATGTGCCACCCCTTGATTTTTTAGTGGCCCCATCTGGCCACCCCTAAAAAAAAGTCTAGGGGTGCCACTGTTTCATTCACCATCATTACCCTGTCCGAGCACTCCTGGCTGACCTGTGCTACCCTGATGCATCTGTGTGAAGGTGCCTATTCCTATTAGAAAGGTCCATTGCTTCATGCTTTGTTTGAAGTGAGGGGCCTCTGTGATGACTGCTTTATCTTGCCATCCTGAAAGCTGAAGCCCACTGGGAGAGTCAAGCTTTCAAGTTTAACATCCCTCACTCCAAGTAGAAGGCATGGCTTGAATTCAGCTTAACTGAAAGCTAAATTGCTCTCCAGTCAACATAAAGCAATAGATCAAGAGCTGCGAGAGCAAGATAAGAGATGCTTCCTAATTCAAAGCAGCTGGAAAGTAAAGATGATTCGCACCTCAGTGGGAATTCCAAGATCTGCTCTGATAAGGAGATGTGCCTCTGACCTGCTTCATTGTTATGCTATTCCTGATTTGTTGCGCTGCCAAGGCTCTCTGGTTTCAGTATGATTGTTAGAAATGTACATGGAAAAACCAGGTGGTCTGTTCTGCACAGTTGCAAAGCCAAAATGTAATTTAACAGTAAAGTAGGTGATCTCTCTGTGTGATAACAAAGGATCTTGCAAAAGTGCTCACTGTACCATCAAGACATTTAGATTTGTTGCAATGGAAAATAAGGTAAGGTTTTCTTCTTTGTGGGTAAAGAGGAGATGGAAACAAATGAAAGCTGAATAGCGCATTTTTTTGCATATGTTTAACTGATCACTGACACTTTCTCTACACTGCAAAGCTAGTGTATATTAAGGCTCAATGTCATTTCTATTGACATGGTTGTCATGGTCTCTTTGCTGTCAGTTGGTGTTAAGTGGGTCAAGCCAGCAATATTAGCCTATTGTAAACATAGTGAATCCATGGATTTATTATTGGATCTGGATACTGGACCCCAACTGCTAACCTGATACATACGTGAAAAAAGTTTCTAGTTTCCAGGTTTATCTCTGGGGTATGCAGCCCACTGAGTATGCGCAGTAGTGTTTCTCACGCTGACCCCACCCCAGAGTTCCCACCACGGTCATAGGCTTTGCATCATGATGATGTCACAGGTTTCAAAATAACTTAACTTAATAGAAAGAGTCATATTTGACCTTGTTTGCAGATTGAGTTGTCTTGTCAACAGGTTTACAGGTGTCTCTTTAACAATGGTGGTTTAAGGGGGAAATGGTTTTTGGGAGGCAGGGGATGTTTTCACTGCAATACTGTGAATGGCCACTGAGAAAAATTGGAAGGAAGCGTGAGTGCCTTTCCTGAGGGCTTGAGTGAATCCTATAAACTATAAAATAATATAAAAAAATGGATGTAGGTACCACAGCGTCATACACTGGTTCGTGGACTATGGTGTTCAGCTTTTCAGTCGTCACCATCTTGGTTTTTTGTAGCCAGAAGTGACCGTATTTGGACGAGTGGGTGGAGCTGTTGAGAAGCAAGGGGTGGATCTGACTCATGGAGGCGACGCCTCTCAGCAAGACTATCACTCAAAGTGGTAAGCCATTCATTTTGAATAACTTTAAGCCTTAATAAAATGTACCAGGCTGTAAACATGTTTATTTCTGCTGAAAAGTTGGGCATTTTAGCATGGGGGTCTATGGGGATTGACTGGATTTGGAGCCAGCCTCAAGTGGTCTTTCAAAGAACTGTAGTTTTTGGCACTTCACCATTGGCTTCATTTTTCAGGCCTGGCGGCTGCATCTTGGTAAGTCCCTTTGTGTAAAATGAAAAGAGGTTTCAAATCCTTTCACATTATGTTTCTATACCTCTGACAAGAGAAAAGTTTAAGCCTCACCTTCACAGATCTCTCTCTGTCTTGCATGTCTAGCTAAAGCGAAGGTTGTTCCCCTCTAACCTCTTTTAACCCTTGCTTCCTTTTCCTCTGCTGTCACTGAAGAAAAGCAGGATGTATTTATAGATGCCTCTTCCTCCACAGACAAACACTTGTGACACCTTTGAAAGGCCAGTGCTGTTTTGGCTGTTATGCCTCTTAAGAGCTGCATTAGTGGAAGACAGCATCCACTTCTGCACGCAGCAATTTGCATTACACAGCTGACAAAGATGCTGCCATGATACTGTCAGCCCTTTGCTATCACTGGGTGAAAATATACAGTAATAGCTAAAATTATGATTTTAAGAATGCCTCGTATGTACATGTAACTTTGTGCAGTGCTGTCGTTTAAAAAGGATTTCACTGACTTTCTTTGGCGGATGTGGGAACAAATGCCATTCAGAGTGGCATTCATTCCAGATAGTATGTTGCAGAGCTGTCTTCCACTTTTCATGTTCGTGAGTGCAGCCCCCCCACGGCTGCCTGCTCCTCGTGGAAAGGCAATATGCTTGGCAGGGTGAAATGAGGTGTCACAGCGCACCACTGACAGGCAAAGTGTCCACCCGCTGAGACATCTTGTTGTCCCTGCTGTGTGCAGGTCACGGCCCTCCCTCCCGCAGCCTTTCTCCACCTCTGCTTGCTCACTTCCTGTTTTTCATCTCGCCGGGTCGTGACAGAGCATCTATTTGTCTTGCTAATGCTATGGATGTATGTAGATGCTTCCTGTCTCCTGTGCTGTAAATATTGTTGCAAACAAAGCAACAAAGTGCACTCTGAAACTCTTGACCCTTTGGCGCTGGCCGTGACCGTGGCTGTAATTTCTAAACGGGCAGACGTGGTTTGCCTCAATTGGCATACTGTCAGAGCGATCAACACTTAGCGCAAATAGATTTCAGCCCCTGGGAGAAAGTGAATTAAGCACAGAGCTCAGAGGTCTCACCAGTGGTGTGCCCTGCCAAATGAAGATCAATATCCCGATCTGTAAGTTCCTGACCCCGGACACATCGCTGGGCTGAAAGGATGGTTATTTCCACCGTAAATTACTCTTTCAAGTAGGATTATTAACAAGATAAAGCGTGTGGTCGAAGAACAAAAGCGTGGTCATTACTCCACTTAGGACACTTGCAGGAGGTAAATTAAATATTGTTAACACTTTGGGAAACATTCAAGCTTTCAGTGTACTTAATCTGCGTCAGACATTTGTCGTCATGATTTTTTGAGACCAGGCAGAGAGACTCTGCCAAACAGAAGCTACTGGTTGCATTATGGGAAGTGTAGGATCCTGTGTCAGGATCTCTCAGCCTCTCCTGCACTGATTTTGACCTTCTTCTCTGTCTCTCACAAGTTTCTGACTGTATAAAAGTGCCGTACTAAAACTGTATCTAATGTGACTTCATGTGGTGTTTACTTACCCAGAATCCTCAGTTGAGTCACAGCCCCATGGAGACCAAAGAACATCCAGAGTGGGCGGGAGTTGTCCACACACACCTGCATCCCCACATTAGTGCCGTTGTGACTGAGGATGACCTCTCCTTCCTGGTTGACCAAGAAGCCCAGGATGTCGCTGCTCTGAAGAGGCGTCGGCACCCGACACACCGCCCAAAACTCCTTTCTGTCCACCAGAGCCTCTGGGTTGTAGGGTAGGTCACTGGGGCGCAGCACCGCTGGGTCACAGGACGTCACACCGTAGGACAATGAGCCCGAGCGTGCTGGGCTGGACTTGGTGACTTTGATGAAGACAGTCTCTCCAGTGCGCAGGGGCCGGTTGGTAAAGACCAGAGTGCGTTCCTCTCGTGCATGCTCAGATCTTGCCACTGTCTGCTCGTCCAGCGTCTTGATGTGGGCGCCACGCAGCTGGTGGAAGTGGAGGTCGCTCTCCAGAGCGGATGGCAGCAGGGAGGACTGCTGGGAGTTGATGGAGTTCTGGGGTATGGGGCAGGTGGAGGATGAGGAGGCTGACGCCAGGTGAAGGGTGTGGCGGTGGGAGTGATTGTGGACGTTACGTCCGTCCTCCTGCTGCAGGTTGAGGTCACACAGGCTGACGGACAGACGGGAGTCGTCAGCTTCACGCCGGAGAGAGGAGGAGCGCACTGTGGTGAAGGAGCGTGGGCGCAGGCAGTCAGGAGGAACAATCTCGCTGTCTGGAAAGAGGGGAGAGAAAAGGGAGTGGGATTGAGACGGAGAGAGAAAAGCGGTTAATAGCAGCCTTTCTGTGTTTTGCTTTGATTAGCAATTTGCCCGAGGCCTGTGGCGATGAAGTTTGCAGTCAGCTGAATCCCAATTGTGAGCATACAGTTCTGAGAAGAGCTGAATCTGCAGCTAGTCTGACAACAAGATAATGATAAAAAAGAGAGAGCAATTTAACTTCAGTTGCACAAGTTGAATGCAATGTAGGGTAGCTGTAATTACTCAACGCTGCTGCAAATGAGAGTGACAGGAAGTGTGTTTAAAGATAACGAAATTAAAGAAAGTAGTCGGTTGCTCCTATATCTGCGCAGAACGGAATCATTTACAGTAGTCTGAGACAGGAAAATGCTGTATGGTGTCAATAAGCAGAGAGCAAATTACTTTCCTAAAACAGAATGTAATACAGGCGTGGATGTGGATGTGAGTGTGAGGGTGTGTTTGTTGCATTCCTTGCGATCCATAGTACAGTATCACTTTAGAGCAAGCCATTAATATCAGCCAATACATGTCTCTGATAGCAACAGTGGTCACATGCACTCACATACACACACAAATGACTCCACCTCGGATAAGCTGCCCTCAGGTCAGCTTACAGTCTCATCCTACGCCTCGACACAGCGGCTGAAAATAACACCTCCAAACGTGCTCTCCCTCTCCAGCTCGCCTCCTCCCTCGGGGCCTGGTGACAGGGGTAAAATTAGCCTGTCGTCCTGAGAGAGACCCTGCTTACTCTGAGTTTGAGTGGGAGTGATGTATGCACATGTGTGTTTGTAGGGCTGTCAGACAGAAGAAACAAGAGACGGAGAAGAGAGAGGCGATGACCTCTTCTCCCCCCCACACAGGAGGTTATGAAGATAATGAAAGACCTCCCCTCAGCCAAAGCAAGAGGTGGAGGAGAGCCATTGAGACAAAAAAAAGGGAGGCCTGGGGGGAGAACTGAGGATAAAAGACAACGAGCGGCTGCTGACTGTCTCTGGAGAGTCTCTCCAGTCCTGGTCAGCTCTGGGCCCCTCTATCTGACCGGGACCTGAGAGCCTGACTCAAGATAAACCTCTCAGCCTCAATTACCCGGGCTGTGGGACCACCGCTGACTGTAAGCTGGAGCAGTGAAAACAGAGCAGCCAAGCCTCTTATGATGCCCTCCCACAGCTGAAAGGGACACAAGCCAAAGGAAGAGAGATTTGTGACAGCCCTAAAGAAAACCAACATTATACTGGCTGAAACAGGAACAGTTTGACCCAGCCCCACAATCACTCCACAATCCAAGATCCAACTCCACATCATAACTAAAACCACATCTCTTAAAGCTAGGGTAGGCAACTTTTAGGCAAGTTTTTGTTAATATTATGTTATCTTGTGGACTTCGTTTTGAGGTTTTCTGTTTGTGCTCTTCTCCATGTTCTTGGTGTCATTCCCTGCTCCGGTTCCTGCCTGTTGACTTGTGCTCTGTTTGGATTTTTAACCTGAGTTCATCGTATTATCCCAGCTGGTTTTGGTTCTTCTATCATTTGCACCTTCTGTTACCTGCCATGTCTGGATGGTTTTCATCAGCCTAATTAAAAAACACTTTTTGTTTAACCTCAAACCTGCCTGTTGCTCTGCATTTGGGTCCTTCCTGGACTGATACTTGACACAATCAATAAATGAAATGCTGATTCAGAGACAGAGAATCCTGCAGAGCAAGTTGCCCTTGCAGAACTGGCAACAACTCCCTACACTGCAAAGCAACGCCAAACGATAAAGGAAAATAAAATGTGTCAGCATCAGCGACGCATTTCAGAGATAGAAAGAAAATGTTGCTAATAGTTTAGCATGCTAACCAGAGCTAAAGGCTGCAGTTTCAAGTTCCTCCTGGGGATGCAGTCAAAAGTAGTGCGGAGTGATGGTGAAGGGATGGCTAACGTTAGCTTGCTAATTCTTCTTAACTTGTGGTCTGGTAAACAGAAAGAGAGCAGGGCAAAGAGGGGCTGGGTGCATGCGCTGTGAGCAACTCTATAATGAAATAAGATATCATTAATCAGTGTATGGGAAACACTAGGTTACTGTATAAAGCGTGTGCATGTGCCTTTGGTTGTCTGGTGAAAGGGGCTTAGGGACAGAAAGGGGCAAGCTGCAGGAGGAGGGTGCATTTTCAAATTCTGCTGCTTCATTTATTTGCCTTTTCCAGATTTTAGCCTACCTTATCTTTAAACTAAGAGTACAGGTCCCTTAGTGATCAAAGACAGTGGCTAACATCAAGTGTCATGCTGCAAATTTGTTAAACTGAACCTGAGACGACAGCGATGTCCTCAGTGTCTGTTCCCCTTCCACGAACGTGTCTGATTTCCTGCATCATCATTGAAATGCTGTCTGATGAGTCCTTGTACACCATAAAGCTGTGATGCTATCACAGCTCCCTCAAAGTCATTTTAGACATCAATTAATGTTAGTTGCTAACCCAGAGCACGGCGCTTTGTGATTAATGTTTAATAGAACTAAGGCCGTGTAATTGTGCTAATTGATTTTTCACAGAGGCATAAAATGGAGAGGACAGTGCCTTTGGTGCGCGGGGCAGCTCCCAGAGACTGCTAATCAACCATTAAACACCTCCCTGCTCAGATGTGTGCAGCAGTTAACTCTGGGTCCCAGAGGCTAGCCGAAGATGACTAGCATGCCAGCTCGGATTTCATCTACTATTTCCTCTGCTATCAATCCCCCGATGGACTGTCAGCCTCCATGAAAACCCCTCGCCTGAACTTAAGAGGACAGGCTGTGGAAATGAACGGAGCCTGATGACGTATGGCTCTTAAGTTGTAATTGAACAGCTCAATCTGCCATGTAGTCTATTTCCTGATTTTATGCCATTTCTTCAGACAGAGAGCCATTTGCTGAAGGGAGGCCTTTAATGAAGAAGAGAAACCTTAATGTGGCTCTCGAATGATTAGGGAAGGCCTCTCCTTTGGCCATAGATGGAGGAACAGTCATGCTAACTGCTCAACCACAAATTGTGATGCCAAGCCAGTGGCGGCGCACTCACTACAAGTTATTGGGGATTTGAATGACATCATCAAACTAAATTGTATCTGTGTGTGTCTTCCAGAGCTGGCCATTTCTCCGCTGCCCATCACTCCATCCTAAATTGGATTACGATGGGACAGACTTTGTTGCAAGACCTCCGGGACACAGGGAGGACTGGAGCTGCTGAGAGGATGATGACATGTCTCGGGGGATAACAGCGGATAGGAGAGAGAACACAGAGGAGAGGTAAAGCCAGGAAGGGAGGGATGCTGGTGTGTGACAATGCCGGATTTATGTTGAAAGGAGTCAGTGGAGGCATCCAAACAGCCGCAAATCATCTCACTCTCTCTCTATGTGTGTGTCACTCCGACTCTAAATCAAACGCAGAATGTGTGAACACAAACTCGCACACACAGTAAATTGATTCCTTCATAAAAAAAATATATATATCTGTCTTTTATCAGCTATTTTCAAAAAAGCTTCTCTGAGGGTTTATGTTCCTTTTTTATCCTCTCTCCCTTCTCCTCTTCCTTGCTCCCTTTTCAAAGAGTAGTCATTTCAAACCCATATTGGCCTGTGCGCCATGTATTCTTCCTTTTGCTTCTTCAGTCATCAAAGGCTGGTGAGATGGAGGCACTGTATGTACCCCTAATGCTTGTTGTTAGGGTGGAGGACAGAGAGAGGAATGAAAGGACTGTAGGGACATTTACCATGCATTTGAAAAAGTTTGTGTGTGCGTGTGTGTGTTTGTGCACTCTGTATCCGTTTGTGACCTCACCAGCTGCTGCCCGCTAATCATGGTGCACCTGCGTTTTTAGCTGATACAATCCCTTTGTCCTATTGGTCCCTTTCAAATCCACCACTCACAGATGCTCTCTCCCATTGGCTGAGGCCAGAATTTTGCACTTTGAAAGCAGCATTAAACAGTGTGCGTGTGTGCGCGTGTGTGTGTTCACTCCTCTCTCATGTAGGAGGACATTGTAATGGGGCCATGGAAGATGCAGCTGCTGACACTGTGAGCCTGGAGGGGTTGGGGAAGGGGGGGGGGGGGGGGATTCATCACCTGATTCTTCACTTTTGATTGAATTTCAAACCAAATGTAGCACCTGTTGGGCTCAACCACTAATTAATTCATGCAGGGGAGTGTGAGAGTTATGGGTCAGCTCTTTCATTGGACTATTTAAAAACTGAAACCCATTTGGACTGCCTTTCTTTCTCCCTCTTCCTCCTTTGAGTGTTTTTTGATGAGAATAATAAAGCACCTGTTGGGCTAATCCATCGCAAATACACGGACAAGGGAGGGAGAATGGCGGCGTGTCTGTTTTGGCCCGCACAGGCATTGGCTCGCACTGTAAATGTTTTTGATTAGGGTATAGCCGCAAAGCAGGTTAGCTAATGCTGTGCATAGGGAGGTGGATAGAGGCAGAGGCTGGCTTAGTGGCTTTGCTAGCCTGAGCAGACGGAACGTGCAAGGGGCTTGAGCCAGGGTTGGAGAGGGAGGGAGGGGGGGGGGAGGAGGATTTACTCTGTCTCACACACACAATCTATCTCACAGGGCTTATCTTTATCCATAGTCTCTGGAGGGTTTCATCTGATGTTGGAAAAGGTGAAGGGAGAGCTGCAAACAGGAAGAGAAAATGAAAAGGGAGAAGAGGAGAGAAGGTGTAAAGGGAAGTGTTCGGATCAGCAGAGGGTAGGGCAGAGGGTAGAGATGTTGCAATGAGCAGTTAGAGCACTGAGTCAGGGAGACAGCACAGGATCTTTGAGGGGGAAAGAGGCAGTGTATAGCTCAGTGACCGACCAGGGATTAAGAGACGCAAACTGACCGACCAAGCAAGTGAGAGGCTGAGATATAAACCTGCAAAGAGAGAGAGGGGGGTAGTATAAAAGCGAGATGGAGTCAGAGGGGTCTTTGTGCTAGATGTTTGGGATGTTCTTTATTTCCTGGCGTTGGCCC